ACGATGTGGGCGTGCGGCAGTCCGCGCCGCTGATGTTCGATGACTTTCACAATGTACTTCCGACGCGCGCAGAAGTGCTCCTTGAGGTATGCGATCATCTTCGCCAAGCGGCCGTGGAACACGCGCGCCGTGATATCAGGCCTGTCTGCGGGCGTTTGGCCGGGCAACAACTGCGATTGGATCTCCTCCCAGTAGGGGTTGCACGTCAGCGCAATGAAGAAAGAGGGCGGGCCCAGGCGGCGGGCGAGCTCTAACGCGTCAGTCCGAAGTTTCCGCGGGTGTCGCGGCGAGCCGGGCACGCTGGCCGGCAAGTGATATTTCTTGCCGACGGTCGCGCCTGCAGCAGTCTCATTCGCCACGACTTCGCAGAGCTCTTTTCTCGAAGCAATTCGTTTGTTCTGGATGTCGCGCAAGTGAGAAAACCGTTCGTCCTCCATTCTGCAGAACATGTTGATCAACCATTCATTGAGGAGGCGCCCGCACATGTGCATGTGGTCGAAGCGGAGAAGTTCCTGGCGATACCACCACATCTGCGTCACTTTCGCCCCGGCGTCGGTGACGACGTCCGTGCTCCAGCCCCGACCTCCGGCCGGGTACCACAGGGGGTAGCTGAGGGGCTCGTATAATGGACTGAGTGGATGTAAATACTCTGGGTGGTCTGACCGCGTTTTATGAAAGGTGACGGAGCGGCACCCGCGGTTCGGGGACGGATCGAAATCGACGACGCCAGCAACTTCGTTGACACCTTCGTGCCATTCGAGCACCACGGCGCCCTCAGTCGTCGGAGACTTCATCTTGGCCAATCTCTGGATGGTGCGCATATGCTGGTTGTGGGGCAATATGATGGCTTCCAGTTTCGACAGGAGCGTCTCAGGCAAACCCTGGCGCATGGCCGCCGCCGCTCTTTCGGAAGGGTCCACTATGAGGTACCGCAGGGGCACGGAGTCTGTCGCGGAAAACACTTTTCGGTACATCGTCCCGTGGATTCTGATGTTTGATGGCCTCTGCACTCCGCCGAAACGCATGTCCTTGCCAGGGCCACTGCTCTGGATTTCGTGCTGCGCCAGCGCGAACATGCTGTTGAAACGCCGGGATAACGCTGTGAATCCTGTCAGCGTTACTGCGCCAGTCTGCGCGTCGCGCGCGATGGTGCCAGCCTCATCCTTCAGAGGCCAGGTCTGACAAAATGTGCCCTTCAGAGCAGGACCAGGAACTGTGAAAAAGGCTGCAAAATATATTGAGTATTTGCCGCTACTGCAACAGAACGTGACGGACTCATTCCGGTAAAGGCGTGCTCCGCAATGTGGGCAAACTTGATCGAAGTCGCCTAAATGAATAGAAGAGTTCTGTGGGCGGCCGCTGTGGGCGCTGCAGTGGTAGCACCGTGGTTGGGCAGTGTGTCGGGAAGGCAATGGAAAGGAACTCCAAGGCAAAACGCTGCCGCATCCAGCGCGCGCGGCAGCGTGGACCGCGCGGCTTGCTCCACTGCGCTGCGGAGCGTCGGCCAAGCAAGCGCGGCACTTGCGCGAGCTTCGCTTCCGTTGGTGATCCGAAAAAAGCTTCGCGAGGCAAAGCGGACTCGCAGCCAGCACATGTGAATGTCTCCTGCTTCGGGGGCATGGTGCCGCCACACAGTTTTGAGCCAAGCAGGCTATGGATCGAACGGATGACGATAGTTAGGGGGATGATGATGCTGACGATGCAGTCGGAGATGGGGATGTCGATGGGGGGAGGAGGAGGATGAAGCGCGAATTCGGGAGGGTGCCAGACCAGGGAAACGCAGAAACCATGGACAGCTGAGGTGTCCGGCCGTGTTTCGGGCGATCGGTGATTGCTGCGCCAGGCTATGCCATGTTGTGGCGCGGCGCGCAGTGGTATGCTATTGTGTTGCGTGCATTGATCGTCGTTTGTATGCAGTGGTTGTGTATGAAGCGCAGCCAGAAAACACAGAAACCATGGACAGCTGTGGCGCTCGGTCGTGTGAGTGGCAATTGGTTGGCCGATTGCTAGGCCTGTTCAAGTACGCCGTGCTGCGGTGCGGAGTGATACGTCAATGTGTGATGCGCAAGGGTAAGTATGTGGCTTTATGCTGCGCGTGTGTGCTAAGGGGAAGTCGGAGAACGCAGAACGTATAGTGCGCGCGGCGTGCGGACCCCTCGGGGGCCTTGGAACAGTCCGGGAATCTCTGTTGAGTCCTGGGGGCTGCTGGTTGGGAGTGTATCGTGGCATGGGTGCCGCCACACAGGCTACGGAGCGAATTCACGAGGATGCGTAGGGCGATGATTGCGCCGACGATGACGGTCAGAAGTGAGGATGTCGATGGGGGAGGGGGGTGCTGAATCGCGGATGTGGTAGGGCGCTGGAAAAAGGAAACGCAGAAACCACGGACAGCTAATGCGCTCGGTCGCGCGGGGGGGCGGGGATTGATATGAAATGCTATTCCTTGTTCCGCTGTCGTGCGCAGTACGGGGGAGGAGGATGCTGAAGCACGAATGCGGTAGACGCGGGATCAAAAACGCAGAAACAACGGACAGCTAATGCGCTCGGTCGCGCGGGGGGGGATTGGTATGAAATGCTATGCCATGTTCCGCTGTCGTGCGCAGTACGATGCTACGGCGTCATGTGCAATGGTCACGTTCGCATCGAGCCTTCGTGTATGAAGAGGAGGCGAGAAAACGCAGAAACCATGGACAGCTGGGGCGTTCGGCCGCGGTGATGGCAAAGGTTGTTTGCTCTGCTATGCTATGTTATGCAGTGTTTTGCCGTGTTCTTCGGTAGCAGGGTAATGTGTTATGTGCCACGGCCGTCGTCTGTATCCAGCGTTCGTGTACAAAGCGGAAGTCGGAAAGCGCAAAAGCCATTGACAACCTAGGCGCTCAGCCGTGCACGTGGCGTTCAGCTTGGCGAAACCTTTGCCGTGTTACGGCACACTGTGGTAAGGGGCGTAATGCTTTGCCAACGTGCGACGTGCAATAATAACAACCGTCGCGCAGCGTGCGTGTTTTCGAGGGGGGCGACAAAACGCACAGGGTCTGTTTCGCACAGCTTCTGGACCCCCTGGGGTCCTGGGAGCAGCCTGGGGTTCTCTGCGGGGTCATGAGGGGCTGCTGGTAGAGTTTGAAGCATGGGTGCCGGCACACGACTACGGGCCTGCGATAGGGTCTGGAACGAAGTGATGACGGTTGGTCTGTTTTTTCGGCGCGGGCCTATTTGTGCAGCCCTGTGTCAGTTTCTCGGGTGGCGAGTGGCGGGCGGCGAGTGGCGGGGCAAAGGCTATGTCATGTTACGATATGTTGTGGCATGGCGCGGAGTGGCTTGCCAATGTGCTGAACGGGTGGTAGTCTGACGAAGGAATGCCGAGACGGGGCGCGCGATGCTATGGCATTCGCGAGGAATGTCAAACAGGGGGAGGGAGGAAGCGCGCGCGAACGGTAAGCGTAGGAATCGAATATCTCCCTCAGCCGCGGGACGCGCGCATTCGCGCACTCGCGCGCGTAAAAAAGTTAGCGGGGCGAGGGGTGCCTCAGCCGCAAGACGCGCGCATACTGCACTCGCGCGCGTGAAAAAGTTAGCGGGGCGAGGGATGCGGGGCGCCCAGAGGCGCCGTCTCAGATCTGCGCGGCAGGCCTCTTGCGGAGCGCGGCCGGCTTCTTCTGGATGGTCTTCTGGATGGTAGGGGTGGCTGGCGTCGAAGGAGTGGAACCCAAGGTGTTGCGAATGGAAGTGCCGGGCTTGCACTGGCTGCGCGTCACGATGGTGGGGTACTTCTGCGTCAGGTGTTCCAACCCGCGGAGCATGGCGGGGGGGGCGTTGTCGGCGACGACGATGTGCAGGTTGATGATCTCCTTGATGGTGCAGGGCTCCTGTTTGAGCTTCGTCAGCGAACGCGTGTGTTCTACGCGGTTGGTGAGGAGGCGGGACTCCACCTGGAACTCGCCGTGGGTGTCGGACGCCGGCACGCTGAGGTCTACGTTCGCCTGGCCCTGCTCAAGAGTAGACGTCAAAACGTCGCAGACGAACTTGATGGCCTGCTTGCCTGCGGCCGCGGAGTCCCCGCACGCGCCAAGCACCCACGCCCAACTGGCTTCGCCGCACGGGTCGGCGGCAGCCGTGGGGCCCAGGAGACCCTGCACGCCGATGGTGACGCCGCGCGGCACGGCCGGGACATCCATCTGCGCGACGGCGTCCTTCTGGAAGCAGGTGAGAGCGTGGCGGCCTGCCCGTCCGTGGCGCAGACTGGAAGCGTCGGCGACCGTAGCGCGAGCCCCGTTGGCACGCTTGCCGTTCACGTCGATAAGTTCGAGAAGGACGTGGGTGGTGTAGACGCTGGCCCTCTGGGGTGGCAGAGCCTGCGCGGCCCGTGGCCTCTGCTCAGCGGGCGTGAACGTGGCGTTCGCGCGCTTAGCTGGCATCGGGACAGCGGACGGCTCGCGGGCGAGGCGCGGTGCGACTTTGAGCCGGGCAGCTGGAGGGGGCGGCGGCGGCGACTGCGAGAAGCGCGACGCGGTGGTGGCGCGCGAGGAGCGAGGGGGAGAAATGCAGAAACCGTGGACAGGTGCGCGGGGAGGTGGCTTGGAAGGAGAGACGCAATGGGCACGCGCGCAGCGGCGCGGCCGGGGAGAAAAACGCAAGTGTGCAACGCAGCTGTCGCGTTCGTCCTAGAGAGTGCAGGGGTTGGATTTGGAAGGGAGATGACGACGGAGATGACGACGAGGGCCGGCCTGGCAGACGACCGCGGACATCGGAGCGGCGCCGCGGGGGAGGCCGGGAAATCGACCGATTGCATTGTGATGCAGAGGTAGGCAGCGCAGATACAATGGGGGACCCCGCGGACCGTCGGACCTCCCGGAGGAGCGCCTGGAGCCGCGCGGCCAGGGGGGCGGCGACGCTGGCGCGAGGCCGTCGCGGCGCGTCGCCCGGCACCCCCGCCGTCCAGACGCCAGCAGGGGGGCGATGGTGATGGTGATGATGTTTTTTATACGCGGATGCAAGCTGCTCCATCACGCGGCCCGGCCGTGCTTGCGGAACAGTGCGTCCCGCGCAAGCCTGGCCGCCCTCATGCTGCTGCATTTGGGGCCTGCGTGCGTCTCTCCATTGACGTAGCAGACCACCTGATACCCATTTCTGTGCTTGTAGATCCCGACATTCTTGGACTTCTTCTTCTTCTTTTCGAAAGTGCCTGTCCGCCGCACTTTCCTTAAAGCTTTCTGGCGCAATTCCTTCGCGCCCCTGGCGGTCCGCGACGTGCCCAGGCTGCGTCGACGTCCGTCGACCTGGATCTGCGCTTCGAACGTCTGGGCGCCCTTGCGGTGCACTCCGCTGCCGTTGCGAGCACGCTGTTTGCCGCGTGCAATGCTGATCGCTTTTTTGAGCGCCGTCACATTGAGACAAATGAGCACTGTAAAATCATGCAATGTGAACGTTGTTCTCCCATACTGTTTTTGGAGATGGTGACAGTATTCTCCCTGGCGATATCATCGCGGCATCCCAATAGTTCCGACGCCACTTTGGGGCCGGCGGAGCCCACGCCGGAGCACGCCATCGCCCAGCAAGCTGGCGAAAGAGGGGCGCGGAACCCGAACACCAGAATCGTGATGAAGCGGGCGAGGTGGCGCCGCATGTAGCAGCACCGCGAAGCTTTCTTTTTGGTTTTGTAAAAGCTGCACGGTCCACACCGCGCAGGGAACAAAGAATCGACTTCGCCCCACATCCTTCGCGTGCCGTCCACGACGTCTCCAGCGAACTTCCAGAGGGATGCAGTGCAAGTCATGAGCTGTTTCCAGTAGACGTCCCCATCTTTGAGCCAGGCGTAAGGGAATGATTTCGCACCGTCGAATGCTCGTGCTCGGGCCAGACCTTGGGCGAGAGCCATCGTTGCCGTTGTGAGGGAGGTCGTTTTCCTCAAGGCTTTGCTACAATATTGCACCGCCTCCGGCGTGTACAGTCCGCGCAGGAAAACAGGATAGAACACGCCGAGTTTGAGACCCCATTTCCTGCATACGGTGAGCAAAGTGGTGTAGTCGGCACGTTCGGACATGCAGTGCGTCCCAATTTCCTTGGCGTCCGCGTAGACAGAGCCGACAGCGCCGAAGAGCTCACCATCTGACAGTACCATCGCGACGGAGGTCCGAAAGTGGTAGAATGCACTGGCGGGCCTGCGGGGTGATGCCACACCCTTGAGCCAAGCAGGCTACTGAGCGACAGGATGATTTGGAGGATGGTGAGGGGGAGGGCGTGGATATTGAAGCGGGCGTCTGGTTGGGACGACGACCAGAGAAACGCAGAAACCATGGACAGCTGAGGCGCCCGGGCGTGCTGGGCGATAGTGGGTTGCAATGGAATGCTGTGCCACGTCGTCCTCGGCGCTGCGCAGTGATCGTTGTCTGCGCGCAGCCATTGTGTACGAAGAGCAGACCAGAAAACGCAGAAACCATGGACAGCTGCGGCGCTCGGCCGTGCGAGTGGCAATCGGTGGCCAGTGAGGAGCACGGATGAGGTAGTCCGAGGGGGGGAAGTCCAATCGCAGAGCGGAGGTCAGAAAAGGCAGAGCCCCGTGCCGAATATGGTCCAACATCCCTCGCAGTGTTTCTGGGCCCAGGCTGAGATCCCGAATAGCTTTCTGGCCAGCCATTCGCAGAACAGGTGTGGGAGTCGGAGGATGCTCAGACGTCAACATCATCACCACCGTCGGCATCATCTCCTCTCCTCCTCCGAGTCGCCTGCGGAAGCGAGAACCCTGCGAGGATCGATGAAGTTGGCGTCTCAGGCGGTCTTGAATGTCTCCTGGGGGGGCCTTCCGGGCGCTTTTGGGCCGTCCTGGCGCCTTTCTGGGCCGTCTTTGAAAGCTTTGGCCGACTGTCTTGGGCCCTCTGGGGCGGTCTTGGGGCTCTCTTAGACCTCTGGGGCCCACATGGGGCGTCCTGGAAGGCATTGTGGACCTCGTGGGACCCGTTGGGGGCTCCGCTGGGGCTTTCTGGCGGCAATCGTGATTTTTTTGAGTTTTTGTGGGCGCCTTCTGGGGCCGTCTGGGGGCCTCTTGGGTCGTCTCGGGGACCTCTGGGGGCCCGCTTGGCCCTTGCTGGGGTGAGCTTGGGGACCTCTGGGGCCGTCGAGGGTCACTGGAGGCCCTATACATCGATGACATCAAAAAAAATCGAAAACCTACAGGAAAAGCTAAAAGGCAAGAAGGCCAACATAATGTTGATGGCAAATCAACGAATTTGGGTTCTCGGGGGTCTCTTCGCTTGTGTACGTATGCTGTGTAAGTGTTTTATACATGCTGTATTTCTGTACGCATGTGCGTTTGTGCGCACGCATGTATATACGTGTGCATGAATGCATGCACGTATGTCTGCGCATGCATGTATGTGTACTTGTATGCATGCGTGCATCTACTGGCCGTCGGCCCCTCCCGCCACTGTGCGTAGGTGGGTCAGAGGCTTCCTGCGTGTGCGATGGGATCTCGTGGTAGCTCTCTCGGGGGCCTCTGGGAAGCAGTTTTGTAGCTTTTGGGAGCCGTTTTGGGGCCTCTCGGGGCCTCTTTTGGGCCTCTCGAGGCGTCTTGGGGTACTCTTGGGGGCCTCTTGGGGCCTCTTTGGGGCCTCTTGGGGCCTCCTGGGGGCCTTTTGGGGCGGAAGGCTCGATGTTTCAGTTCGTGGTCCCACTCTTGGGCCCCTCTTGGGCCCGTCTTAATGGTTTCGTCGGCCGTCCTGGGCGGCTCTTGGGCCATTTTGGGGCTCCCTTGGGCCGTCTTGGGGCTGTCTTGGGGCCCTCTTGGGCCGTCTTGGGGCCGTCGTGGGGGCCTCTTTGGGCTGTCTTGGAGCTGGCTCGGGAGGCTATTGGACCGTCTTGGAGCGCGGGAAAGCGGAAGAGGCAAAAAGCCAAAAACATCGAAAAAAAAACATTAAAAATCAACGATTTGTGCCTGTTGGGGCTCTTTGTAAAGGGCCTCTGGGGCCGTCCAGGGGCCGTTTTGAAAGCCTTGAGGCCAGTGTAAGTCGCATTGGAACGGTCATGGGACGCTCTGAGCCCGTCTTGGAGCCGTCTTGGACCTCTCTTGGGCCGTCTTGGGCGCGTCTTGGGCCGTTTTCGGCGTCTCCGGGGCCGTCGTGGGGGAAGGGCGCGCGTCGTTTTGGGCCGTCCTCGGCCAACCTGGCCGTCCAAGCACCGCTTGGTGAGGGGAACCGGCATGGTGACGCCCATCCGGGGGGGGGTCCCTTATAATATGAAGGATAGAAGGAATATATATATATATATATATACACACAGTTATTCCAAGCTCCCCGTGTCTGCCCGGGGAGCCCGCGCCGCGCGGACGGCGGCGGTTACGCGGTCGAAAAAAAACAACAACAACAACAACAACAACAACAACAACAACAACAACAACAACAACAACAACAACAACAATTACTAGCACACACCACCAGACATACTTCCGGTTCAAGCTCTACCACCCACACCACACCCAGCTTCCCGCCCTATGACGTTCGGACACTTCACTTCGTGGCATGCGGACGACCGTGGCTACTATTCAGGGCCCCGCGGCCGACGACGACGGCGTGCGCGCGCGAAGAAAAAACGAATGTGTCCCGCATGGTATTATTTGACAGGGATGATGGCCCTGGCAGGTCGCAACCGTTGTTGCAGAAGTTCGAAAAAGTTGCTCGCAAAAGCCCGTTTGACAGAAATGTTTAAAAAGTGTTGGGTTTCCTACGAATCCGCAAGAGCGCGCGGGATGAGATTTTGACAATTTTTTGTTGAAAAACCATTGGTTTTTTGATGTTTTTATGTTAAAATCGCTGCGAACACTAAGGTTTTGGAAGGATTTCGTCTTGCGCGCGCGAATGTCCACTTTACCTTATTTTTTGCAAGGGATTCTTGAAATTTGATTATATTAGAACAAGAAATGTCATTTTATATTGTTTTTTGCAAGGGAAAGCGGGGGGAACAAAACAACCGGATCTGGATCACATCGTTTTGCCTGAGACTTCCTCACGAAAATGATGAAAATGTGGCTGCGGCCTAGGCGCGGCGGGGGGGCCGTGCACCAGGGGTCCCAAGAATAATTATTCTTTAGAAGTAATAATGTTCAGCAACAACAACAACAACAACAACAACAATCATTTAAGACTGGGGACACTCCGTTCTCACCAGTGCCAGGGTTTTCATAGGAGGCGGGCAATACCCCCACTTTGTGGGGGGGCCGGTTCAAGCTCTACCAAATTTCCAAACGACTCTTCGCCACCACCCACACCCAGCTTCCCGCCCTATGACGTTCGGACACTTCACTTCGTGGCATGCGGACCACCGTGGCTACTATTCAGGGCCCCGCGGCCGACGACGACGGCGTGCGCGCGCGAAGAAAAAACGAATGTGTCCCGCATGGTATTATTTGACAGGGATGATGGCCCTGGCATGCGCGCAACCGTTGTTGCAGAAGTTCGAAGCACGCGAAAAAGTTGCTCGCAAGAGCCCGTTTGACAGAAATGTTGAAAAAATATTGGGTTTCCTCAGAAATCCGCAAGAGCGCGCGGGATGAATGTTTGAAATTTGTTTTTGAAAAACCATTGGGTTGTTCATGTTTTTATGTTAAAATCGCTACGAAAACTAAGGTTTTGGAAGGATTTCATCTTGCGCGCGCGAGTGTGCACTTCGTGTCATTTTTTTGCAAAGGATTCTTGAAGTTTGGTTATGTTAGAACAAGAGATTTCATTTTATAGTGTTTTTTGCAAGGGAAAGCGGGCGTCAACAAAACAACCGGATCCGGACCAACCCGTTTTGCCTGAGACTTCCTCACGAAAATGATGAAAATGTGGCTGCGGCCTAGGCGCGGCGGGGGGGGCGCGCACCAGGGGTCCCAACAATAATTATTCTTTAGAATTAATAATGTTCAAGAACAACAACAATCAAAACAACAATCAAAACTTACACACACAGCATTAAACAACTCCTGGAGGAGATCTCCAGGCAAGGCAACACGCCGACGGTGGCACCGGTGAAACCGTAGACGGAGTTCGCGGAGACCTGCGATTGAGGGGGGGGTCGTCCTCCTCCTCCTCCTCCTCCTCCTCATCCTCCTCCTCCTCGTCCTCCTCGTCATCATCATCATCAGCATCATCATCATCATCAGCAGCATCAGCATCAGCATCATCATCATCATCATCATCATCATCATCCTCATCATCCGCCTCCTCCTCCTCCTCTTACTCCTGGTCGTCCTCCCTCCTCCTCCCTCCTCCTCCTCCCTCCTCCCTCCTCCTCCCTCCTCCCTCCTCCCCCTCCGTCCGTCGCCACTTCCCCTCCTGCTGCAGCCGGTGGTATTAGTCTGCGAAGTCTGACACAGCCATCCATCTCCCCGCCCCATCCACCTCCTCCTTTTCCTCCTCCTCCTCCTCCTCCTCGTCCTCCTCCTTTTCCTCCTCCTCCTCGCCCCCTTCCTCAATTTCTTTTCCTTGTAAATCAGTGTTCGCCCTGTCGCACCCCGAGGCCAGTTTGTAGGGCGGGCCAGGCGTTTCGCCTGAGACTTCCACAACATGTATGACTCTGAAGCTTCACAGATGGAAGGCAGGTGGTTTTCGAACTGTAGCTCTCGCCTCAGCGCCGCGCACATTCGTTTGGAACGAAGTGCAAGAGCTTCACGGATTGAGGGCGGGTCGTCTTCAAAATGTGGTTCTCGCCTTAGCGCCGCGCACATTCGTTCTACAAAACTGCAAGAGCTTCACGGATTGAGGGCGTGTCGTTTCCAAAAAATGATTCTCGCTTTAGCGCCGCGCATATTCGTTATTGGAAAATGCAAGAGCGTCACGGATTGAGGGCGGGTCGTTTTCAAAAAGTGATTATCGCCTCAGCGCCGCGCATATTCGTTTAAAAAACTGCAAGAGCTTCACGGATTGAGGGCGGGTCGTTTTCAAGATGTTGCTCTCGCCTTAGCATTCATAAACTTCGGAAGAGTTGCGCGGATTCCCATGATAAGCGTACCAGAAGCGGCGTGCTGGAAGGATTCAAGATTATGCGGATGTAACAGTTCTGTTGGTTCGCGGTTACCGAAAACGGAGTTCCGGCACGGATCGCCAAGACACAGCAGTCAGCTTGATCTGTGGAGTTCAGATCCCAAGAACAATGTGTTGGCATGCTTCAGAGTCTTGAAACGGTTGTCTTCAAACGAAGCAGTTCCCTCGATGGAAATGAACCGAGAGCGTGAATGGAATGACCGTAAATTCTGACATCGTTGATGACGTTTTGTCTTACACTGGTCCTATTCCTCTTCCTCCTCCTCTTCCCTCCTCCTCCTCCTCCTCCTCCTCCTCCTCCCCCTCCTCCTCTTTCTCCTCCTCTTCCTCCTCTCCTCCTCCTCCTCCTCGTCCTCCTCGTCCTCCTTCTCCTCCTCCCTCATCATCCTCCTCCTCCTCCTCCACCTCCTCCTCCTCCACCGTCTCCTCATCCCCGTCATCCTCATCCTCCTCATCCTCACTCTACTCCTATGTACACAGCTCCCCTCTTCCGATTGTGCATGATACAATGGGCTCCTTTTTGGATTTCCAGTTTTGCCATGGCACGCGCCCGCGGATAGAGACAAACATCAGCGCACCGTGCAGTGATGGGTGGGAGGGGCACGGTTGTCAGCTGATTATGGCGCGAGCGTAATTACCTGGCTTGCCCCGCCTCTCCTCCTCCTCCTCCTCCTCCTCCTCCTCCTCCTCCTCCTCCGCCTCTTCCTCCTCCTCGTGCTCGTTCTCCTCGTCCTCCTCCTGGCCCTTTCGCCCAAGGTGGATTGAGGGGGGCGCGATTCGAAGGGGCGCAGCCCTCCCGAGTCGATGGCATGGCGGGCCGTGGCGCTGGATGCAGCGATCTCGGCGGCGGTCAGGATTGCGATAGAGACCGTCTTCAACGAGGGGGGCCAGGGCCAGGAGCAGCAGGAGATGGAGCGGGGGAAGCCCAGAGGCGCCGAGGGCAGACGCTCGCCCCGGGCCTGGCCCGGCCAGGCTCTGCTGCTGGCCATCGAGGTCCGCAAGGACGACCAGGACCAGCAGGAGCTGGAGGCGGCGCGCCAGGGTGCTTGTCAGTCCCCGAGCCGAGGCGTATACAAAGGTGGTCGAGGACGGCGCGCTCGAGCCCGACCCGCATAGCTTGCGTGACAGCGTCGTCTGGGGCCAGCGGCGGTTCGGGCTCTACGCCGCGCGAGCTCTTCCGGCAGGCGCTGGAGGCCATCCGGCTGGAGAAGGCTTTCAAGGCCGATCAGCAGCCGAAGGAGGTGCCGCAAGTGCGCAGCGGGCCCATCCAGAGAGAGTACGGGCGCCACTCCGCGGACGGGACCTGGAAGAGGGGGAAAAAATGTGAAGAAGCCGAAGCACAAGAAGGCGACGAAGGAGCGGACGGAGTCCTTCGGGGAGGGGCTGGACGCCGCGCCCTGGAGGGAGAGGAGCCGCAGCCGCCGATGAGCAGCAGCCAGGAGACGGTGCGGATGTTCCACTTGGCGGACGGCGACAGCAGCGACCACGAGGACGAGCACCAGGAGGAGGTGGACGGCTTGCGGAGCTGGTTACGACCTCTCGAAGGTCAGGTGGGCGAGCTGGAGGGCTCGGCCGTCAAAGAGCGGCCGGACCTGCACGACCTCGCGCAGGCCACCTCGGTGTGCTCCGGGAGTCTCGCGGATGGGGTCGGCGAGTAATTACCTGGAGCAGTTCGTGACGCCACAGCTCTGCCATGCGGTCCTCTCGAACTCGTTCGGGCCGCTGGGCGAGGAGAAGAAGCACAAGAGAAAGAAGGGGGAAAAGGCCGTGGGCCGAATCCAACGGATCCAAAAACAGCCAGCGCCTCCAAGTGGTGCGACGGATGAGTTCATCACCAAGAAGCGGGGCAAGAAGCTGAAGGCGGCGAAGACCGCCGAGTACGCGGAGAGCAAAACGGCCAACACGATGAGCAGCAAGGTGAACCTCACTGACGTGGTCGTCAAGCGTGCGGAGTCGCACAAGAAGATCATGAAGGATGAGCCGTCAAAGCTGGCGGGTTGCCAGCAGCAGTGGTTGAGGCCAAAGAGAAGGCGTTCCAGAGGGCCGAAGTCGCGCAGGAGAGCCGCCTCGCGCTGTGGAGGCTCGAGCACGACTTGCTGGTAGAGGTCACCGGCGCATGCTGTGGGAGTGTCTGGCCGGCGACCTCGGACAAGGAGTGCGCAGTCGCGTCGTCGGAGTTCGGGGCGGACGTGGGCCGCGTGATGCACCTGCTACTGGGTAGTCGAAGCCAATCTGGCGCCAATCTGGCAGGCCCAATCTGGCAAACGGGGAGCAGTCTGGCGAGGGAGCCAGGGCGGATCCAGTCTGGCGAATCACCCAAATCGTCCAGCTTGGCAGGGCCAGATTGGCCTTTGGGGCCCAATCCAATCTGACAGTCTGGCCTTCGACTACCCAGTGTTAGTGAAGAGGCTCGTCGAGAAGGGCTCTGGCTCAGCAAGGGAGGCCCTGTTCGGCTCCTCCGCCGCCCACGAGGCCGTGCGCAAGGCGCTCTCGGGAGCGCCCGAAGCCCAGCGCGCCGCAGTCATCGGGACGCTGGTCAGCGTCATGGGGCTCCCTGGTGGAGCTGGCCAGGGGGGGGGGAGGCAAGAGCTGGGAGTTTTTCCCCTACCTAGGCTCTGCCTAGAAGGGTTTTTATACTCTGTGTGCTTAAAGGGCCGGGCAGTGGGGCACGCCCCGGGCGGTTCCCCCAGCATCCGCCCCGCGGTTCCCCCAGTGACGTTCCCTTGGCTTCGCGTGGTTATCTCATCTTAGCTTAGCTTATTTTATCTTACCTCAGTGTTATCTTAGCTTAGCTTACCTTCATCTTAGCTTCGCTGAGCGTTAGCATAGCAGAGCACAGCATAGCATAGCATAGCGCAGCATCGCGTATCATAGCATGGGTGTAATTCCCGACCTAGGATCTGCTTAGAGGGTTAACTTAGCCTAGCTTAGTTTAACTTAGCTTAGCTTAACTTAGCTTAATTGTTTACCATTTTCGAGCTCGGTGAGCTCCTGGCGGTCGATGTGGTCTGAGTTTTCGCGCATCCGGGGGGAGGCGGCAGTTCCCAGGGGGGCGCCTTCCGGCGCGGTCTGCGGCGCAGGCTCGAGGGGGGGCCGCCCCCCCCCCGCGGGATGCGACGCGTCGTCGACGCATTTTCTGATCCTCCTCCTCCTCCTCCTCCTCCTCCTCCTCCTCCTCCTCCTCCTCCTCCTCCTCCTCCCCCTCTCCCTCTGCTCCCTCCACTCCTTCCTCTCCTCCTCCTCCTCCTCCTCCTCCTCCTCCTGCTCCCCCTGCTCCCTCCACTCCTTCCTCTCCTCCTCCTCCCTGGAGCCCCCGAGGAGCCATCTCGGGCCCGCCGCGCCCCCTAGGACAACTCGTCGGCGCTCGACGCCCGGGCCGCCTACACGCCGGCGGCACACAGGGCCGCCGGAGGAGGAGGAGGAGGAGGAGGAGGAGGAGGAGGAGGAGGAGGAGGAGGAGGAGGGAGGGAGGAGGAGGAGGAGGAGGGGGGAGGAGGGGGAGGAGGAGGAGGAGGAGGAGGAGGAGGGGGGAGGAGGGGGAGGAGGAGGAAGGAGGAGGAGGAAGGAGGAGGAGGAGGAAGGAGGAGGAGGAGGAGGAGGAGGAGGAGGAGGAGGAGGAGGAGTCAGGCCTCCAGAGGAGGAAAGCGAAAGGAGCTGCCATCACCACCACCACCACCAGAGCAGGGCTCGAGGAGGAGGAGGAGGAGATAGACGGTGCGATGCGTTTTCGTTTGTTGTTCGTTCTCCTTCGTCATGCCTTCGCTTTGCCTTTGCTACGAAACGAGCTCAAAACGAAAACGGTCCAGGGAATCGCCAAACGACGTTCAGCTCGAGCCCTGCACCAGAACTCCATAGAAGTCCGCTCCTCCCGATAAGCCCCCTCCCCGAGTTGGTGGCACTCCGTCCTTGGCACGCTCTGGGGGCGCGCCCGGAAAGGGGTGACACCAGCTCGGGGGGGGGGGGGAGCGGCCAGCCCCTCTAGCTGGTGGTGGTGGTTCTTTCTTCTCTGGTGCG